CCAAAGCCACCTCCCATCTCCAGGGCCTGCTGTGTCCTTTCCCTGCTGGAGAACAGCAAGGCACAATGGCTGTGGGTGCTGGGATCTGCCTGGAGACAAGATGAGGTCAAGTATAAAGATTTGGCATTAGTGGGGGAGTCTTGTCCCTGCTGTCCTCTCCTGCAGCAGTGCTGGTGTTGAAATCCCATCATTTCATGGCTGCTCACATCCCTGCTGAGGCAAAAAGGCATCTCCTGTGCTGGCTGTAACTACAGGGGCTGACAACTTTCTGAGGGTTGCATGCAAACACTTAAAGCAAGTGCCCTTGCCAAAAATAATGGTGCCTCTTGCCTCGTGCCAGCACTGGCATTGAAGCTTTGCACTGAGATCCAGCCTGGCAAAGGCTGCCAGTGTCAGACTGTTCCGGAAAAACGGAGTTATTTTCAACCTGGAGCAGCTCCCCGGGCTGGCTCCCACTGTGCCAGGGCAGGGGAGGGAGGCACAGGAGGGCAGGGACAAGTGGCAGGGTGGCCAGCAGCACCTCTTGGGGTGCCCTTGGCGTGGGTGGGTGTCAGGCAGGACACTGCCCATGGAATGTGGAGGGACAGGATCCCTCCTGCCACACTGCAATGTCCTGGTGAGCCCCACGTCACCCTGCTCTGCAAGAACCACCTGAGGGACAGGAGGGTTTGGCAAAGCCACTTGTCCTTGGCCAGGAGCGTCCGAAGCTGAGCTGCCTCACCTGGTTTGGTCCCTGCTGGCACAAGCTGCTCCTCTCCAGCCATGTTCCCAAACACCAGAAGCTCTGCTAAAATGAGCTGCATGGAGGATGAGCTGAGGGCAGCTCCAGGATGAAGGCTCAGGAGGGAGGGCAGAGGTCTCTGTGTGAGGGACACGCTGCTGGTGGGAGGCATGGGCAGATGCCAGAGCAAAGAGGGGGGCCCAAACCAGGACCTGCTGGCACCACCTGGGACCAGATCTCACTGACACACACCCCTCAGTGTGCCAGAAGCTCACTTGCTCCTCCTGGCAAAGAGCAAAGAAATTCTGAGGTGATTTTGGCTGTCCGGGACTCGGTGACACCCATTGGTGGTGTCTTGGTTTTGTCTGCATCTGAGTTTTGCTCACTTATGGGGAAAATGGGGTAAAATTGTCTTGGGTTCCCCAGCTCTCTGAGACAATAAACACTTCAGAGAGCAGATGAAGATGAGGCTGAAGATAAGGCTGAAGATGAGGCTGAAGATGAGGCTGAAGATAAGGCTTGCTCACACTGGAGGCTTGGTCATGCAGCAGGATTTCTGGCCTGCCTTTTGGAAAGGGAAGAGAGAGGATTTATTCCTTTCATTCTCCCAAGTGATGCAGATACAAAGATGTTTTCATTGTCTCAGTGGCCCTGAAAGATGTGACGAATAATAAAGGACAGGATGTTGGGATTTCACAGATTCTCCTGCTCTCTCCTGGTGTCTGCAGAGCTCCTTTCCAGGAAATGGAAGATGTTCCTTCAGTTTTCCAGCTGACACCTCCTGCCTGCTGTTCTGCCATGTCACTGCCAGCCTGGGACAGCCCTTGCACTGTACCCTGGAGCTCCATCAGGGTCACCAGCCTGGCAGAACATTAACCCGGATAAAGCACTGGGAGAAACCATTTGGAAAAGTTTCTGTTGATTTGGAGAGCTGAGCTGCCCATGGGGGCTCTGCTGACCTGCCAGAGCTGGGCAGTGAGAGGATGAGTAGGAGGGAAAGAGGATGAAGAAGAGAGACCACCCTGTGAATGAGCAGCAGTGAGACCTCGGGTCAGCTCAGCCTGAAATTCCCCTCCCAAATGACATTTTCAGTGCTATTGAATTGGAATTTTAAACCCAGTCTCTGGACACAGAGCTGTCCCCAGGACACAGAGCTGTCCCCAGGACAAAGAGCTGGACACAGAGCTGTCCCCTGGACACAGAGCTGTCCCCTGGACAAGGAGATGTCCCCAGGAGAAAGAGCTGGACACAGAGCTGTTCCCTGGACACAGAGCTGTCCCCTGGACACAGAGCTGTCCCCTGGACAAGGAGCTGTCCCCAGGACATAGAGCTGTCCCCGGTAGGCAGGAGGTGGCAGCATTGCCTAGCCCAGCAGATCCTGCTCTCCTGCACACCCAGGCACAGGGCTCTTTCCTGGCCCAGGAGCTCCAGACCTGTTTTTCCAGCTCTTCCAAGGATACGTGACTCAAGCCAAACGCCTCCCAGCTGCCCGGATCCCACTCAGAGCAACCATTAAACACAACCCCAAAGGGTGACAGAGGCACATCAGCTCTGAGCTGTCTGCAAATCACAAGGGGCACCTGAGGACACGGGGCTCTGCTTTCAGGGATGGCTGTGGTGTTCAAAGATACCTCATTTGCCCTTGAAGCTCCAGCCCCCTGAAGGAGTGTGTGATGCATCCCAGATCCCCCACACGAGATCCGCAATCCCTGTGAGTGACAGGAGTGTGGATATTCTTGCCTGCACAAATGCTCCCTGACAGAGCCGAGGTGGGAATGAGTTGGAGGCCAGCTCGTTCTCGGAGCATCGTTTTCCTTCTGGTGCATCTGGCTGATTTTGAATCATTTGCATTTCAGTTTTTTTCATCAGAGATGCAGAGAGAGCTGTAGTAAAACCTTGGATGTAAGCTCCCTGAAACACAAGGGGAACTTGGAGATGATATTTGCCATGCAGGGCATTGCTGAGTGCCAATCTTCCCTCTCCAATCCTCCCGGTCTCTCACTGTGGAGTCATCTGGAGCTCAGTGAGTCCACCACAGGAAGAAACTCGGGAAAATCACAGATTTCCCTTCCTGCCTCACAGCCAGATGGACACAATCCAGGGCTCTTTTGCACTTGTGCAGGCAGAAAGTGTTTTTACCAAGCTAGAAAGCAACATGGTGAATTCAAGAAGAGCTTCTTCCACTGTGTGGATGCTGTTCTTTGAGAGAACTCCTCCACCTTCATATCCTATTGATATGTCCTAACCTGGACCTCTCAGTCTCACTTTTCTCCAAAGCAGCCAGCTATTAAAAAAAAAAAAATCCATGCACAGAAAGGTTTTAAAATCCATATTTTTATTATTTCCATGGCTTTGGGTGCACCAGGCATGCCGGGAAGCAGTTTCTGCCTGCCTGCCTTCAAAGCAGACACCCTGAGTAGGCTTTCCTTCTACTTCCATGAGCCACATTAACTGGAGGAGCTTTCTCTCTCCTGCAGACTGAATCATTTCCCAAATGTAGCCTCGCACGGCAAAAGACGCCGCTGTGACAGGGAGTGATGATGAGTCACCGGGAATCCACAGTTTGGTGTTCCTGCAGAGGGAAAACTCACAGCGCCCAGAGGGAGAGGGGGCAAGGCAGGAGATGGCACTTGTGCCAGGCAGCAAGAACAGCCCCTGGAGCACGAGCTGCTGGGTCACGGTGACCCTGGCCAGGAGAGAGCCGCGTGTGGGGGCCACGTGAAAGTGGAGCCGGCAGGGATGAGGGACGTGGCCGTGACGGGTGGTTCTGCTGGCAGCATCCTTGTCAGGGTGCCATGGGCTTCTCCTGGCTCCTCACCTGCAGTGATCACCCAGGAGCTGCACTGCTGTGCAAGGCACAGGCCCCAGCGGAGGGCTGGGGGGCAGCTGAGGAGTGAGGAGGGTGATGGAGCAGGGTGTGAGGAGCTGAGGAGTGAGGAGGGTGATGGAGCATGGTGTGAGGGCTGAGGGGGAGCAGGGAAGGTGATGGAGTACAGTGTGAGGGCTGAGGAGTGACGAGGATGATGGAACACGGTGTGAGGATTTGAGGAGAAGGGAAGGGTGATGGATCAAGGTGTGAGGGCTGAGGAGTGAGGAAGGTGATGGAGCACAGTGTTTCAGGCTGAGGGTGAGCAGGGAATGTGATGGAGCACGGTGTGAGGAGCTGAGGAGAAGGGAAGGTGATGGAGCATGGTGTGAGTGGCTGAGGGTGAGCTATGGAGAAGGGAAGGGTGATGGAACATGGTGTGAGGGCTGAGAGGGAGCTGAGGAGTGAGGCAGGTGATGGGGCACAGTGTGAGGAGCTGAGGGGGAGCAGGGAATGTGATGGAGCACGGTGTGAGGGGCTGAGGAGCAAGGAAGGATGATGGAACATGGTGTGAGGGCTGAGGGGGAGCTGAGGAGTGAGGAAGGTGATGGAGCACGGTGTGAGGAGCTGAGGAGAAGGGGAGAGTGATGGAGCACGGTGTGAGGGCTGAAGGTGAGCTGTGGAGAAGGGAAGGGTGATGGAGCACGGTGTGTGTGCACAGGAACAGCTCGGTCCCAGGATCCCCCGTGGACATGGGCTGGGAAAAGGAGGTTGTGGATTTCAGAGAATCACAGATTTGCTGGAGCTGGTCCAGGAACAGGGGCAGGGGGATGCATCCAGGTGGGTTTGGGAGGTCCGCAGAGTGAGGGACTCCAGAGCAGCCCTGGGCAGTGTTCCAGGGCTTGGCCACAGCCACAGCTGGCATGGATCTCCCAAACCATCCATTCCTGTGACCGATCCCCACTTTGGGACCCAGACCAAAGCACTGAGCGTCTCATCCACCCTTTCCAGAAACACCTCGACAGAACGAAGTTGCAGTGTTTATTTATCCACAAACCAGCCTGTTACTGTAAACACAGGCTGGGGCCTGGGCTTTGAGAAGAGCCTGGCAAAAGCACCACACGTGGGCTGGCATCTCCGTGGTGGCTGACCCATCTCCAGCCCCTGTCGCGGGCTATGTAGGCAGCGCGGCCACCGTGAGAAACCCCCGAACCGGCACCCCCCGAACAGCCACCCCCTGGCCGCTGCCGCCGCCTGCCCCTTTAAGAGCGAGTGAGGGCACGTCCGCCCTGCCCGCCCTCTTCCGCCCGGACTGACGGAGCGGCGCTGTACGCATGCGCACACCCGCAGATCCCCCCCAATCACCGCCCTCGGCTGGTGGGCGGGGCGCCGTTTGAGGACGGTGATTGGCGCATCTTGGCGAGGGGGCGTGGTCACGGCGGCAGCGCCCCGCCCCTCTCCCAGCGCGCCCCGCGCGGTGAAGAAGCGGCGGCCGCGCGCCGGGGGCATTTTGTGTCGGCGGCGGCGGCTCGGGCACAAGATGGCGGCGGCGGCCGAGTGAGCGGCCGGCGGCCGCCGCGACCCCGCGAGTTCCCCCCCCTCCCCCTTTCCCCTCCCTGCTCTCTCACAAGCACCTCGCGGGCCGCTTCTCCTGTTTTCTGGGGAGCGGAGCAGAGCCGCACAAGGGGGGGGACGTCCGCCCGAGGGCCCCGGCTGGAGCTGAGCGCGGGGATCGTCTCCCCCATCCCAGCCCCTTTCCCCTCCTCGAGGGCGGCCGTAGAGCTCTCGTTGTCCCAGCGAACCGGCCGGGAGGGCCTGAGAGCCGCCTCTCGCCATGGCGAGCAGCAGCGGCTCCAAGGCCGAGTTCATTGTCGGAGGCAAATACAAGCTGGTGCGGAAGATCGGCTCGGGCTCCTTCGGGGACATCTATCTGGCGATCAACATCACCAACGGGGAGGTAAGGGCCGCTCGCAGTCGCTCCTCAGCTCCCCGGGGGGAGCCGGGCACCAACCATCGCTTCTCCGAGCCCCACCTGCGGTGCCCTCCGGCTCCCCGGGGTGGGGTCTCCCTTCTCCCAAGGGTCTTCCTTTCCCCCTCTTTCCTCCCTACGAGGGGCTTCATTCTCCCTCTTTTCCCCGAGGATCTTCCTTTCCTCCTCTTCCCCCGCTACGAGTGGCTTCATCGTCCCCCTTTCCCCCGAGGGTCTTCATCCCTTCCCCCCGAGGCTCTTCCTCGGTGCCCCTTCCACAGCAAAGCCCTTCAATCTCCCTACCCAGCACTTGGGAGAGGAGAAGAGAGGCGAAAACCATTGTGGGAAAACATATTTAAATTATATTTGTGTTCTGTGAGCGGCTAAAGTCGTCGTTGCTCGCCCGCCATTCATCTCCTCTGCTTCAGCTGGGGAACACTTTGTATTCTCGTTTCGTCAACACTAATAGAAACAAAGAAGATCCCCCCTGTTTTTCCAGCTTTTCCTTTGGTTTTTTTTTTTTCTTTTCTTCCTCCCCCTCACGGCTCTGAGCTGTAAAGAAGAAACACCCACGTATGTTCTTCCTCACTTAAGTGCTTCTGAAGACTCCACATCTCTATCCCGAATACACGACCCGGGATGGATATTTACGTACAAATCAGCGCGATGTGGATTTTAGCGGAAGACGCCACAAAACGCAGCACGTCGAGCTGGGAAATAAATAAATATATAGCCGAAAGCGTTGGCATCGGGGGTGTGTGTGGGGGATGTGGAAGTGCTGTGCCCCTTAAAGCTCGCTGGACGCTCTGCCCTGACTCCTTGTTCCCTCTCCCTGCAGGAAGTTGCTGTGAAGTTGGAGTCTCAGAAGGCTCGGCACCCCCAGCTGCTCTATGAAAGCAAACTCTACAAGATCCTGCAGGGAGGAGTTGGCATCCCACATATACGGTAGGAATCAGCCGTGTGTGCCAGTGCCGTTTCTGTCTGCTTGGCATGACTTTTTTTTGTCGTGCTTATTACTGTATATTGGCAGTTGTTTAATACTTTTGAGTGTGAGGCAGGGCACCGCCATGAAAATAAATTTGTCCATGCAGGACTGGGGGTGATAAAGGGGGAAATGCTCCATTTCAAGCTCTCCAACTCGCTGGGTTCCTCTGGCAGGCCTGCCGTCTGTATAGACAGCGAGACACCCAGCAAGAAATTCTTGTGGCTATTAAAACAAAGTGTGAGGAGGCTGTTTCTCCGAGAGGCAGAGAGTTGGGAGCCGGCCCTGGAAATGGCTGCTTTCTTTTGTTGCCTCTCTCTCTCTTTTTTTTTTTTTTTTTTTTTTTTTTTTTTTTTTTTTTTTTTTTTTTTTTTTTTTTTTTTTTCAACATGTCTTCCTGCTCCGCTCAGAAAATGGCGGCTGGACGTGATTAACCCTCCCCCTTCTCCTGGTGGGACAAGGGACGTGCTCGGGCTTGTGCCTTTTTTCCTTTCATAGCTATGAGCCGCCAGCCTTGAAACTGCGGAGAACCTGGAGCAGGAATGAAATGGCAGCGGCTCCTTTCTGCTGCCCGCAACAGATGCGTCACCAGCCTTTCCGTACGGGATTAATCCCTCCCAGTTCCTCATTATGCGGCTCCTCACTTCGTCTTCCAACTGAAACTTTCGCCAGGGTTTCAGAATTTCCCGATCTGGAAGAAAATCGCTGCTGCAGGACTCGTGGAGGGGTTATTCCTCCTGGGATTATCGAGTTTTTACCCTGGGGTAGTGCCCAACTCCGGAATCTGGGCATCAAAGAGTTATGTAAAACTTCAGTTTTCTTCAGGGAGACTTTCTCAAGTTGTTCCTTTTTTTTGAAACTTTGTTAATAATTGTTTGTAAAGTTAGTATTTTTTTTCCCTTGGCACAATGGCCTAAAGGATTTTTGTTCCTTGATCTGCACAAACTATTTCAGATTAGGTTCTGTATCAAACTGTGGATTCCATTTAATTTAACCCTTCCCAACTTTGTACAGGATAAACAGTGACATTTAGGGTCTGCTTTAAAGTTATCACGATGACATAGCCAAGATTCTGAATTAATTTGGCCAAAGCCTAGTACAAATCTGCATTTCTGAGGTTATTAGCTCCCTCCTCCTTCCCCCCCAACCACCACTGGCGCTGATCCTGAATGTGAGCTGGAGGAGACAGTGTTGTCCTGGCCATCTGTCCTCATTCACTCCAGCCTTTTGCAGGGACACAATCAACATACCTGAATTAAGTACTTGCAGCTTCAGCAGAGTTGCTGGTGTGAAAACAGATGCAGTCTTTCTTTGAGAATACAGTTAACTTTTTTTCTCAAATATGGCTGCCTTTATTTCACAACTGAAAGAATAGGAATTGCATTTTGGAAAGCTTTCACGGTATAGTTGCATGCTAAAACAGGGATAACTGGGAAAACAGCCAGAGCAAGCAGATATCAGGTGTTTCATCACAGAACTGGAAAAGCAGGCATTCTTGAACTACTTTTTTTGAAAAGTAAATGAGTGAGTGGTGTTATAATGAGGCCAAGTTGCAAATTTTTGGCTTTTCCACTGAGATACTGTTTCATTTCTTCTATTTGGTTAAAATGCCTTGGGAAATACTGGTGCCTTGCATACTGAGAAACTTGCCTCTGGCTTCAACTACAGCTTTCCTCTGTATTTGTTATTCTTGTACCCCCTAAAAATAATACAAGGTCCAAAAAAAATGAGAATGGATAAATGAGGCAACACTCAGCAAACTGATTCATAGACTCATTGTGCTAAAGGTGTGTAATTATTGAGTAATGTCAGTCAGTTCTTTCAGGTTCTCACAATGTTAATCTTCGTAGTATTTTTCTAAAAAAGTGAGTTTTTGGAAATACTGTGTTTCTTTTAAGAAGCAGCATTGCTTGTAAATCTATTTTACGTGCCAGATTCTCCTTGAGAGGTTTCTCTGGACTTCTGGTATTGGTTTGGTGATGCTTGAGAAAATCTAAATCAGCATTCTTAGGTTTATTTTCTTTAAAGAGGAAGCTGAGCAGGGGACCAGCACAATTCTTGTGACAAATATTAAAATATTCAGTGTTTAGTAGAGGTAGAATCCATGGTGCTTTGAATCCAAGTCAATACTTAGGTCACTTTGCATGTGTTGCTGATAATCCATGTGCCACCATTGTGTTATAATAATATGCTGTCACACTGGAATAAGCTGTTCTGGCTCAGTGTATTCACAAGGGTGAATCAACTTGAAGGAAAGTCAATGCATTTGGTAAAATTTCTGTAATGTGACACCTTTAAACAGCAGCAGCACAAGAATTTGATAGGAAATGAAGGAATCATGCCAAAATTTCCCCATTGCCATGCTTCATAAAACTCAGTCCACATCTTGGACACGTCAACACAAAAATTTGTGCCTCTCATTTGAGAGTGATGAACTTTTCCTCTGTTTTTCACCTACTTAAGTGATGCACTGGCCAAGATCAACTTCCTGGCATTGCATGACGTGACTTTGCCTCACTCAAGTGGTCTCTGCTGTGGTTCTGTGACTCAGAGCTGAGATAATAAATGAGGTCTGGATTGCTCATTCACTGGGGCTCCTGGTTCTAAAGCTGAATTCTGCAATGTAGAATTACAAGAACATGTGTCTAGATTGTCACTGAAGTTACCTAGAACCAAGGAATTCTTTTTACAGCCTTTAAGGTTAATTTGAGGGACTTTGTATCTCATTCCAAGAAACTAATGAGCAAAAAATCTCAGTTTTGGGGTTAACAGTGGGGTCAACAGTGAGCCTTCACCTGTGGAGGTTGAACAAGGGGCCTTGGTGCTTAATTCTGCTGTAATAAAACACGCTTGCAGAGAAAATAGCACAAAGATTGGCGTGAATGAATTGGAAATTTTATTCTCTGAATATTCTAAACGATTTTAAATCTTCAAATTTGCTGCTTATTGTTTCCTAAAAGAGCAGCAAAGTTTGTGAAATTAACCCTAAAGTTTACAAGAACTTCATTAATACTCCAAAAAAAAAAAAAAAAAAAAAAAAAAACCAAAAACTTAAGCTATGTTTTATTCTTGATGTTCAAATTTTGCTTGATGATTACTTTATTTTTTCCCAAAAGGCTCTTAAACCCAGTTTAACATGGTGACAGTCTGCTGTGCCTTTAGGACACTGTGGCCAGGCCCCAGCATTCTGCTGGGCTTATTCTCATTGTTCTCCCTCATCAGCTGCCCTTTGCTTTTTTTCCTCTCTTTTTCAGTGACAAAGCATTTTGAGCTGTAATCTCATTAACTGGGCACTGATCCTATTAGCTGGGACTATCCACCTTTATTCCCCAATTCCTGGTGCTGCCTTGGAGGAATGCAGCAGTGTGGGTTTGATTTTTGGGTGTTTGTCCACAGTGTAACTCTGGTAAATCTTTATCCACAAAAGCAATTATTCAAATTACCTGGGACAGCCACTCTTGATGTTTTTGCCATTTATGGTGCTCATCAGCTATTGGTTGTACCCTTGATGAAGATGAGTTATTTGTAAGTTAAAAACAAAAAATTACTTAGTGTTCTGTGAGTTTTTTCTGTGCAAAGTTCCCTTGCTAACTGAATAAATAATCTCCACATTTCTGAGTTTTTCAGTGCAGCACTTGCAAATATTTTGATGTTGAGAAATTCAGAGAGAAATTATCAATTGAATGGAGTTTTTTGGAGAAAAATTATTTTCAGTATTTATGCTTCTGGTTGATTACTGCCATGTTGCTGAATAATTATTGACAACAGAATGTGCCCTTCTACATCTTCATTAAATACTACCTATGATGGAAAGATGTCCAAGGTTGATAATCCAAGAATTATCAAAATTAAATTTGCCTTAAGCACTTGAAATGTTGGTTTTTAGCAGTGCTTCAAAAAGTGCAAACACACCTCTCAAACCACCTGCATTTTTAACTGTTTTCTCAGTAACTTCCTGCAGCATAAAACCCCTGACCAACCACCAAAAACACCCAAACTACCATGAGAAAACCACTAAATAAACCCACAAGAAACCCCACTCCCCCTCCAGAAAAAAGGGTTCTATCAATAAGTCCTACTATGAATTAACTAAGTTATTAGCATATTGAAGGGTAGGATGATTTCATAGGTAACCAGAAGTCTCTGGTGCCTCTAAATCTAATGAAAGATAATATTTTAAATTGATACCTATGGTTCCTTTATTAAGAAAATAAATATATGTAAATAAAATTTATTGCCTGTTTTTTAGCAGTCTAAACTCTTGTCTTAGTTGGTCTTTGTGGATTTTTTCAAAGCATCCAAGAGAGATCAAAGTTAGAATTTTTTTCTCCTTGCCTTAACTCAATTTTTGGAATTTGAGGTCAGTGTTACTCCTGTTTGAAACAAATGATCAGCAGAGATAATACTAGAATATTCTTTTTCTCAGTGATGTTTGCTGTCCCCACTGTGGATTAATGGTTCACCTTCTCACTGAACTGCAATTCCTGACTTTCCTGACTTCCTCCCAGGTGTTAATGGAGTTTATTGAACAGCTCAGCAGAACAGGGTGCTGCATGCTTGCAGCATCACACTGGGCAGATGAAGCCACCTCCTTGCTGAGGGATGAGTTGTGCTGGCATCCTTCGTGGATTGCTCTCAGAACTGTACAAAAAGTGATCCAGAATTTTATTTATAGAGTGGAGCCAATTCCATAGCGTAGGGTGTTCATGGCTGTTGCTTTATTTAGTACTTGGGTGGCCTAATTCATGCTCTCCATGGCAACTAACGTTAGGTGACATCTGCTAAATATTGCACTTCAGGATTTCAGTCATGCCATATTATGTGAAGTTCATTTATATTACTCCTAGCTGGTTAGCAGTTAAGTGCTTTTCCAGGTTCAGGGGAGATAAAGCAGAAATATAAAATATGTGTCAATTTAGAAATGAATCCCTGATGGATTACCTTTCTCTTATGTGTTGCTTCA